CAATGGATAACCCTCTAGCACAGTTTTGAGAAATTGGTTGTGGGGTTACTGTTAAAGCTGGAATTCCTTGACATAAGGGATGTCAGTTAATTGTCTCAGCCTTATCAATTACATAAAGTTGTCAATATAATCTCTCTACGGAATGTTAGGTGTAGTGGAATATACTTGAAGTGAAGTTGGCTTTTATTCTTGAACTGTTAGGGGCCTCCTCATTTATATGGGTGTGCGGCTTCATTGGCAAGAAATAATGGAAATGACATAGCAATTTGGCATTTCCAAAAAGCAAAAAAATAAATTGGCTGTTACGTAATTTATTGACGTTTACATGCATTGTTAATCAACGTATCTTATAAAGGATGGTGTGATTTAGTTTAAAAGGAATATGACCTTTCTGTCATGACAGTAGCTGCTTAAATAGTATTTACTAATTGGGCCATTTTTACAGCCAAAATGTTGTGTTATTTTCAATAATGTTACCAACCCAGTGAGCCACGGTCCGTAATATAGGCCACTGCAAATAATTTGTCAAGATAGGTGCTATTTTTAGGCAAGGTTTCTGTGTTTGGATGTTATTAGACACGGTAAGAGTACAATCAAATTCTTCTCTGCAGGTGAATTATCTGTTGGAAAAATATAAGCCGAATCATAATGTCACAATGCGAGTTTGAGCATTGTGGAACTATATGGGTAAGTTACATGGATTTTTTTAGGCTGCTGCTCAGTGTACTTTAAGAATATACATTTTTGAGATAAATTAAATGGTTTTTGTTGCTGAGTAGCGCTAATAGTAAACATGCACAACCCTTTTCGTCTAATAACATTCAATGGCTCTCAAAGAGTTCAAGTTCTTATTTGTACACATATCTATATTATGTTTTCACTAAGCTGAATGAATACAACCTCTCTGAAAAGTCTGCAGTATATTGCAGTTTTCCAGCTTAATGACTTTCTAAGTCATGCACATATCTCTACATAAATATTGTAAAATGTTTATCCAGTTGCTGTAAACTACTATTAATTTAATAAAATATGGAGACGGCTCAAATGTGCACCGTGCCCTTCTGCACTTGTATTATTTTGTATTGTATTACACAATCAAAGATTTTTCCAATGATTGAAAACATGTATGACAATAATCTCATGAACCTATGATGATCTGTCTAGAATAATATGATAAACTATAGGCAAAAGTGGTGAAAAAGGTAGAAACAAACCCGTAAAATAGATATAAGATAGTTCAATGAGAAATAATTGTAGTTACTGTGATAAAAGGATTTTCCACTGATTTCGTAATGGAACACGTTATATTGCAAAACATGACATGATACAGAAGAAAATTAATTTTAAAATCTGGAAATAAAATTGCAAATACTTCTTTTGGGCAATTTAGTAACTTCCAATAAATGTGTGTTGTTTAAAATACAATTTTAAAATTAACAACCGTTTCATTAAAAAGTATTATTCACATGGCCAAAACGTAAACAAATCTGTGTTGAGCATTGGCCTACTTAAAAGGCTTCTGGGACAGAGCCCGTAGCAATTTTACTTAGTTTTTCTTTTGATAACTCATCTACTGACCAAGACCTTTCTTTGGACACCTCTATCAAGTTTTTACACCCAGCTGTTCTCTCAAAATAATAGTTTAATGTGACTGTGGGCCCAATTTTGTACGAAACACACACTGTTGTATGATCTCGAGTAGCCGACCCAGTGTTAGCAACAAGGGGCCAAACACTAGGAATGTAGCGCCAGCGACGTCCCTTTCACTTTTAGCAATTTTACAACCCTCGCCACCCCTACGCATGCAAAGAAAGAGAGACAGTAAAACAGCTGTCCAAGTCGATCGGGTCGACCTAGCCTCGGTCGTCAACTCGCTTTCTTTTTCTTCGCCTACAAGCGTTTGAATAGGGGCGCGGGAGAACTACTTGTGTGATGCGGCACGCGTAATACCGGCAAAAACTTTCAGGTAGTTCTACAGAGCGCCACCAGAATTGGGTCGCAGGGTCGCGTTTGAGTTGCCACTTTGCTATTGAAGACTCTTAATAATTTCTATATCCGGCCAGGGCAGGGCGTTAAATTCCGGGGGACAAAAATCCGGGGGTAAAAATCCGGGGGTAAAATTCCAGGGGTAAATATCCGGCCCGTACATCTTCAGTTGTCTAAACGCTAGTTATATGGACAGGGGGTAAAATTCCGGGTTTTATTGCTAATCTAATTAATCACGCTCTGTATATTTTCATTAGACTTCCAAATCCGCGGGGGTAAAATTCCGCCCGCAAACAAACATTTGAGCGCTCAGGTTACTACGTCATAGTGACGTCAGCTTTGCCCAGGGGGTAAAATTCCAGGGGGATAAAATTCCGGAAGTGTTCATCACTGCGCGGTGGTGGGGGGTTGTTCCTCCAGAGAAGGTCTCGTTGCAGGATGCAGGTGCAGTTGTAGACATTTTCAAAGGTGCATGGTGCATGCACGACGCGCCGTTCGCGTTGATGTTGAATCCTGTGAACGATGAGTGGCATCGTACCGTGCCGGCATCCGGCTTCACTACGAAACCGACGATTGCCTTTAAGTTGTGTATACTTTATTAACATGTTATAGAGCTTTTACATTTTTACATCAAGAATTAACCCAAGAATTACAGCATTATAACATAAGTTCTAGCTAAAAAGTAAAAAAATAGCTAATCTAATGCTTTAATGTTAATGCTAATGTGTTTAATGTTAATGCTTAACGGTTACATGTATCACACTTTATCACATGGCCTTCTATTCACGAACACATTTTACTGCATCTAAATCAGTTTTTTGTATATCTGTATATCTTACCGTTCTCAATCATTGCGCGTTTAAGAGGGCGTTGGAGTGCGGCCATGTTGGATTTTTACATCCATAAGAACAATGTTACACATACACCCTGATATCTCACTTATTTGCCAATATAAAATTATGAACTATGTTTAAAATTAAAGGCATATTTAATACACATCATTATTGCAGGAGACTTTTTAACAAAAATAAAGGGATTTCTAGGAATATATCATGTAAAACCCATATATTCATAAATTTATTTTAGCTTTTGCTAGGACGTCATAGAAGAAACTATTCCGCAAACATGATCCGAAATGTTATTAAGATTAAAATAAAATATATTTCAAATCATTAAGTCAAACAGTAACAAAAAAATATGCTTTTAAGTGAAGGCATCTTCCGCACGTTTCAATGGGAACTTGTCACTGGTTTGCCTGCGCTCTCCTGGCCAGATTTAGAAACTTGTGTTTCCTCCGGCGCGTAGGAATATATTCCTTGGCGGACGATTCAAACCCATTATTTTAGCAACCGTTTTGTTGTTGCGCTAAAAAACGCCACTCTTAATAAAAATTATTGAAGAATTAAAGTCATAATTGTTATCTCTTAGCTGCAGATGATGTCACTAAATTGGTTTTAACGAACTACATATATTTAGTTAGTAAGCAAGAATAAGAATATCTAAATTCAGATAATTGAACTCGATTATATAAGGGAGAGTTGGTTGATAAGACTGTGATATTTCCAAAAAAATAAAAAATAAACCATTGAAAAATTCATTTACAACCATGAAAATATTCAATGCTTTATCGATGAGTTAAAAGCTAACCGAACCGAATGGTTCTCACAAGAAATACGTACGCTGAACGAAACGACACGGCTACGTTTTCTTATCAATATTTTGATTTGTAGCTTTTGAAGCAACACGTGTGTAAAATTATGTTTGAAAATCCAGAAGATTAAATTTACGCGTTGCGTTAGATTAGTTAGTTATTTAGAGTTTGGGTTGGAAATTTTCGTAAAAAGAAAGTTTCCTCCACAACTTCACGTTACGCTCTTTCCAATGACACCAAAAACATGTCAATCGGTTTAGTAGTTTCGGAGGAGTAATTGTCACAAAAAACCTGCTTGTGCATTAAATAAGTATAGATACTGTTCATAAATTAAAACTCAATTCATGAGTAGTACTGTATGTGTATTTGAACATTTTTCTTAAAGAGAAATAAAATAAGTTTTAATCCTTTAAAAAACTAATAAAAAGTGGTATTAACAAATCGAGAAAACTATGAAAAATGCAAATTTAAAATGTATTCCACCACCCGAATTAAATTTTTCATTTTGACCTATAATTAGTAAGATTGTTTCATAAACTGGAAAAATAAAAAGAAATTAATGTAATTTTTTTTTAATAGCCTATTACTTTTAAATATAGGTAAATATTTTTTTCGAGACATTCTAAAGGAATACGAATAAATTGTTAATTTGTATAGATACATCATATTTTTTTCAAAAACGTAATTAAAGTAATCCTATGTTCAAAGTCCAGGCCAACTCTTTCAACTTTAATAGTCAATAATAAATATTAAATAATAGTTTTTATAGAAATAATTGACACAGTTTGATAGAAAATTTAATTTACTTTAAGAATGCCATCGGAGAATAACACAGGTGTTTTAGTTTAGCGGCAATTTTAATTCGAAACAGCGCGCGTCGCGTTTTTCCCTATCTCACTCATGTTATAGCTGCAGCTTTTTGCCACTCTACGGCTCCGCGTGCCCCTCTAGTGTTCTGCTAAAGCTGGCTTCACCACAACATGTGTATTCCTATTCGCGTGCCCTCTCCTTAATGTTTAATCGAATCCTCCTAGAGCGGAGGGCGGGACTCCGGATCGTGGGGTCCCCGGTCCCGGGTTCAAATCCCACCAAATTACCAATGAATTTTATCTAAGTGATAATGCCGTAACCCCTAACCCCTAGCCTGAAGCAATGTGAAGAATGTGAATAACTATTCAGGGCAATCAGGGCTCGTGCCTAGCGTCCTAGGGAAAAAAAATCTTCTTTGGCTACGCTTTGGCAGTCTCACTCTCAGACAGAGTTTCTTCAGTCCAGTCCAGTGAAGTGAACTGTGAGTGAATGTGAATTCAGTTAATGTTATTGTTAGTTAATAATTGTTAAATCAGTGAGTATTCAGTTCAGTTCAGTTTCAGTTGTTCAGTCAGTGTTAATGTTTACTGTTTGTTTAGTCGTTGTTTAGTTCATAAAACCATAGTAAAACTAACAACTCTGTGGTTGAATTTTGAATGTGAGAGAAGTTATTGAGTTGAATTAAATCGTCAGTTTTCATGAAATTTGCGTACAACTTTGTCAAGGTTGGTTTGTTTGATGCACTATTTTAAAGATATTAATACAGTATTGACAATCATAGGCCTAAGTTAGAATAGGTAGTTAGGCCATAACCTCTTTGCCTGATGTAATAGTTTTTTTGTGTAAAGACAAGTTGATTTACTGTGAAAATTGGTTCAGAGAGGTTTTATTTAACTGCTATGTACTCGTTTTAGGTGAGTTGTGGAAACTGAACAATAACCTAATTGTTAATTTCTCTGTAAGGTACTGCAAATTGTCTTAATTCGTATAAGTTATACAATTTTTTGTTTTTATTTATTCCTCCGACAAGCAGCCAATTTCAGTTACAATTTGTTCAACAAAATACAAGATAGTTTACAGATAATGCCAAGTATAGGCCTAATAAAACGGGTAGGCCTAGTAATCATTCTGTTGTTGCTACAATGGTTAAAACTGTAATTTTGTTGTCTAGGTAGCCTATACTTAATACAGTTTTTTGTATGTCAAATCCGAAAATGCAATAAGTTTTGTCGAGAGATTCCTAAGTGACCGTACAATTAAAATAACTTAAGTTTCGTTGAGTAAATTCAAGTGGGGGTACACTTTACTTAGTCGTTGGCAATTATTTAATACACAGAGGATACGATTCCGATAACCGAACGTGGATTACTTAAGTTAGGCGTCCGGTAACCGAGCGTGGATTAAGTTAGGCGTCCTGCAGTGACGTCCCTGGGTTGTGAGGGCCCGGAACGACATTACCACAACGATACGATGTACAGCCATTGGTGTTCGTGGTGTAGTGGATAGAGGGCTCGGCTGATATGCAAGTGGTCCCTGGTTCGAAATCCCATCGGTAACTTTAACTTGTTGTCAAATATTTTCCTTTGAATGCCATTTATTCTTAGCTGTTAATCTTTTGTTAGAATTTTTGGCATTTAGGCCTATAATTTTATTTTATGAACATAATTTAACCTCCATTCAATTTTTTTATTATCAGCAAGTTTGGTTGGTTAGGTTAGGTTATGACAGTAACTGCCGGAATCCTAATCCACGTCCGGTTACCGGACGCGTATCCTCTGCGTATTTAATATGTCTACATTGGGATATGATGTAATTTTTATGTCTACTTAGGCCTACAGTTTTTGTCGTACGCTGAATCCAAAAATGCAATCAGTTTTTGTTGGAGAGATTCCTAAGTGGCTGTAAAACGAGGATTAAAACTAGTTGTTTCCAATTAATAATATTAACTACATTTCAATAATTTAAATTACAATTTTATCTTGTCACTAGGCCTACATAATAAATCAAAAGTCAATACTCTGCTAATGTTTTAATAAAGGTTTTAACAGAGTAGGTACACAATAACTTACTGCCTGATAGAACAGTTAACATTTATCTTGCTTTTGACATGTTAAAGGTGAAACTCTTTCCATAAGATTTTTTTTTTGCAAACACTCTAATAATGTCTTTAACCAGAAGACCTTGGTTTCGTTGTTTTTTCACCATTATTTTTAGTTAATCAAAAGCGCGGTACTTACAATGAATGCCGCAATTACGTACAATTATGGCAGATGGATAAGACAAACTTTTTCAAGTGTCTGTCCTTGAATTTTTGTGATGGTCATGGCAAAAGCAATTTGGCATTGGAACTGCAGATGTTTGAATTTCAGGAGAAAATTTCCCCTGACGAATTGGAATAGTAAAAAACTTGCAGTAATCATTTTCATATTCAAGACTTTGTCATTAATCTCTTTCACCATTATTCTGGTTCCATTAACCAGTCCTTTTTATGGATTTAAATTTCTTAGTAAAATTACAATTCCACCTTTTTATAAACATAACTTGTGAGACATAACCACTTGGTGCTAAAGTGTGGAGAAATTCATCAGGGCTAATGCTATTTAAGTAGGGAATAAATTTAATATTTTTAAAGAGACATTTTAGTGTAAATCCAATCAGGCAAATGGAAATTCGCTTAGTCTGCAGGTTTGCTGCGGCGGGGGTATTTTATTGTTTAGATGTAGTGGTAGAACATTATGGCTACTGTATGGTACATGTGTTATACTATAGCTAGATATTGGAAATTAAAAGAACAAAATTTTCTCAAACTGTGTCCTCTTCCATTGCAAACAAAAAGCATGAGTATAACTGAAATAAGCATTTTAGTTATACTAGCTGTACCCGCGGGCTTTGTCCCGTTTAACTTCATAAGTGAGCTCGTTCGCATGGCTCAATCACGTCCTGGTTGAAGTTTGTTTGCTACGCTCACTCACTTTTAGGTTGGAGCTTGTTCGCTGCACTCACTTGCCTTCAGGTTAGCTCATTCGCTACGCTAACTCGCCTCCAGGTCGAAGTTCGTTCGCTACGCTCACTCATCTTTTGGTTGCAAATTAGCTGTTGTCATAAATGTAAAAGAAATAATAGTGCTGCACCCTGTTGGTAATCCTTGTAACTTTAATGCTATTGAACATCATAGAACAGAACCAACTTGTTTAATTGAAACAGCTGTTAAGGTTCATTAATTCCATTTAAATATGAGTACTCATAAGGTTATAATGGGAAACTCCAGAGCCACTGGGGCGCAGCCCGAGAGTCCGATCAGAATAAAAACAGCTTAGTTTTCCTATTTAATGCCTAAAGAATCAGTGTACCAAATTTCAGCCTCCTAGGTAAATGGGAAGTAAGAGAATTAGTGATGAGTGAGTGAGTCAGTGAGGGCATTGCCTTTTATATATATAGATGCCAAACCCGTACGAAGGACGGGTATTCTGCTAGTACGTATATACAGGGAGCGGCAAAATGATCTGATGGTTTTCTTTGCCGCCCTGTCGAGCAAGTGAGTGGCGGAGGGTGGTGGGAATAGGGGCGTTCCAAAGACAATGTGCGGACATTTTAAGTAGCCATGGAGCTGTGGATGGCAGAGCACCGTGCATTAATGTAAGTGTTTATTTAAAGGGGCAATTCCTGTGTAGCTGTTCAGTAGCAGTTCCGTATACGTTTCAATGTGGATCCAAAGTGAATATTCCCAACTTGAAATACCATTTTGCCGTGGGTGGGTAACTTCAGATACACTAGTTCAGTATTGAAAAAAGTCAACAGGCCAAGATCAGCCCGGACGCCAGAGAACGTCGAGAGAGTATGGAGAGAAGCTGTGGAAGCTAGTCGTCGGCAGCCAGCACGTAAACAAGTGTCTGGCCGCTCGGTGGAATAGTATCACGATACGGCCTGCACTTTCATGCATACAAAATGGCAATCATGCAACAGTTGATGCCCAGTGGTTAAGCCAAGTGCATCTCATTTTCAGAACAAGTGATCGATTTGCTTACACGTAACCAAATTGTTATTATGAGCGACGAATCGCACTCTCAACCACACCACACAGTCTTCCTCACTCTCTTGACGTTCTCTGGCGTCCGGGCTGACCCTGGATGGCCTGTTGATTTTAGTTTCAATGCTGAACTAGTAGATCTAAAGTTACCCACCCACAGCAAAATGGTTTTTCGAGTTGGGACTTTTATTCCTTGACCCACATTGAATCGTCTGCTGAACAGGTACACAGGAATTGCCACTTTTAAAAACACTTCCGCTACAAATACATGATGCCTTGCTGTCCACAACTCCATGGTTACTAAAAATGTCCGCACGTTGGCTTTGTAACGTCCCTATTCTCACCACCCTCCGCCATTTACTCGCTCGATAGGGAGGCAAAGCAAACCGTCAGATCATTTTGCCGCTCCATTATAGCCTATGTGTCCGCCGTTAGCACAATAACTCAAGAAAAAATTATTCGATTTTGATAAAATTTGGTACAAACGTGTAAACCTACATATATTCGAACGAGTTCTCGAACCATCATGATCAGACTATGGGAACGGGGTTTATGGGGGGTTTTATAGGGTAAAAATAGGGTTTTCCCATTTTTGTCCCTAAAACACAAAGTTTCAAAATTTCTTTCCAAACCATTTTGTAGAGCTTAAAAAAAAACAAATAATTGAGTATATTGAAGCGGTAATGTGTGCCTAATGGTTACGGAGAAAATTCAAAAAAATTGTTAATTTCAAATTCCCATGTTTTTTCTTGTGGAGAATAAGTCAAATCTTGTAGTATGCTTGTTTATGAACATTTTTTGATGGAATTTGGAAAATACATTCATTTCTTACTAAACTATTAACATATTACGAAAAAAAACCCACCTTTTTTACCCTCCCTGTTGCAGCAAACCTAAGTACTCGTTAAACTAATTCTATTTAAATAGGGAATAAATGTGATATTTTTAAGGAGGCATTTTAGTGTTTACTATCAGGCTAATGGAAATTCGCTTAGTCTACAGGTTTTCTGCGCAGGGGTATTTTTCAATTAAAGATGTATTTCACCAGGTCTAATTACATTATCCTATATGTTTTGATCTAAGTAGCCTACCTTCAGTGAAATACGAGCTTTTATTTTAGTTAAACCCTATTGATTAATAAGATCGGACGTATCTAAAGCACGCTGGTGAATCACTAACAACAAAAATTGTAAATAAATGGAGTTAAGTAATTATCAATTAGTAACCATCGATTTCGACGGGCCTCTAGTATTTCCCATTATAGGCTACTCAAATAAAGTAGGGAGATTCTATTATGTGAGTTTTGAAATATGACATGAGATGATCATCGGCTGCTAATTATTTTATTGTTTAATCTGATGTAGTTTGGTTGTACGGTACAGTAGTTTGAGTTGTACAAGGGCTCCCCTCCGTGCCACTTTGCGTCGTGCGGGCAGATTCTATCTACAATCTCAACTTGTATTATCTTATTTGTGAATAATAACCAATGAAAAAAAAAACAACCGTGTAAACAATTTGATTAGGCCTATAATTAACTTATTGTCTTAGTTTGTCCTAAAAAGAATCATGCAACCCTCATACACACTTGCTGTTTGTAAAAAAATTGTCAAATTTAAAAATAAACTTGTTAGAATATAAAATGTATTTTAAGATCTTGTAGCACATTGCTATTTCGAATCAAATCTATCTTGGCCTACAGTATTATTACTAGGCCTATCTATTATAACCCTGATGTTATAATGAATCCTTAGCACATGGGAAAAATCTCCTCCATCAACACAATCAGTAAGATGATATGACCAAATTGGGGAATAAATGTTAATGCTTCTTTCTTATCATAATAGCAAACCGTGCCTGATATGATGTAGTTACAAAAAAGTTGTACATTTTTAGCATTGATTTAAATCACAACAAGTTTAGATCTTTCTTTTAAATATATAAGTTAACAAGTCCATCCATTGCTCTAAATTGAGCAGTTGTCAAGTAGAAATGTAGGAGTGGCAAACAAAATAAATAAATTTCATAGTACATCATTTAACAATATTTATCGTAAATAGGCTTCATATTTTATCATTTTTCAGGAGTTGACCTTGTTTTTTCAGTGTTTTTTTGCAAACATCCTTTGTCCCTAACGATGAATTTGATAGACCTCCAGTCACATAAAGTTGTTCATATGAAAATGCAGGAGACGGAACAATAGGCCCACCCAGCTGGTACTATCCTACCCTTGCTATGAACTGACCCAGAGCATTAACTGTCATAGCTTAAGCTAGAACTACGAGAAGTCCTTTGAATATAGCCTACACTGGCAGTACTTTGTCTGATGGCTCCAAATTTACAACGGATATCAGAATTTGTTAGGTACTAGCTTGAGGAACCATTCAACACCTCACAGTCTTTTATACTATCATAATACCCTTGCCGCAGCAATCCTGCAGACTAAGCGAATTTCCATTTACCTGGCTGGATTAGGTAACTTGAATAGTGTAACTTACAAGAATAACTTAAAAAATAAGTTGAGGAGTATACACTAATAAAAACGTTCTTTAATATCAAACCACTTAAATCAAAGAAAAATCGGAATGTACTTTTTGAATCAAATTTTTGTTGGGGCTGATTGTTTCCAGAAAGTTTAAGTTTGCTTCACACGTTGATTTGGAGATCGTAAAAGTTTTACCGATGTTGCTCCTAAGAAGTTATTAGTGAACACTCTTAATTAAGGTCAGTATTTTTTTTTTTAATTTCTCTAATTTAAGTTAGCCTAACTGAAGAAATAACAAAAATGTGACGGGATTTCTCACCTAATTATCACTATGAATCCTAACTTTGACAACCTTCTAAATACAATCTTTTTAAAATTCCGTATCACCATATTCTCAATTCTACCATTCACTATTGGATACTGAAGCTTCTTCCTATCCAAAGGTGCTTCTTTAAAACGTCTGTTTTTATTTTCATATACTGTCGAAGTCTCTACTGGTGGTAAGATGTTTGAAACCATGGAATATTGACTGTAGGTTATCCTACACTTTTCTTAATCAATGGTAGCAGTCGCAAAACTAAAATGAAACATTTTAAAGATGTGATTATATTGTTACAAGTAGAATGAAATAAGTAGCTTTAATATTTCTTCTTTTGTAGCCTATATCTAGATACCTTATATAACAAACTTGAAAACTATTTTAATCAAATAAACAGTTCAATGTTTTTATTCTCTGGTGTTCTGTCAATTAGTAAAGAACTAGCACACAGATGACTGCAGACTGTGCAAGCCACTTTTATTTCATTCAACTATGTAGAGAATTGGTTTAGCCATTACTAACTCCAACCATCCTGGCTCTCTGTCCTATCCAGGTAATAAACTCAAGAAACCAGCCAGGCTCAATTGTGTATGTTAGGACTGTTACTGTTGTCAATGAATACAAAACCTATATTGTTTTGTTAAAAAATCAGTCTGGGAATATTTGAATTTCGGATAGTTCCGTCGGCGGACGCTAGATAGACTAGCGAGCTAAGTCAGCTGACTGAATGAGAGAGAGTGAGACAAAGAATTGGCTTAGAGAGAGAGTGAGACAAAGAATAAACTTAGAGAGAGGGAGAGAGAGAGAGACAGAGTAGTGCGGCCGTTGCGCGAGCGATCGGAGCGGCGGTTGAGCTAAGCTCATTGCAGCGCCAAAATTCCAGTTTGACTATTCTCCATTAGCATTTAGCTTTTTAAAGGGTTTGTATTCATTGCTGTCACTGAGCTGTTTAAAGAAGTAAGGTAAGCTACCACCCTGACTTTACTCTGTTCACAACATTAACCTGGTTTGAGGGGTTTGAGCTGTTGGCTGTTCAAGGTTAGGGTGAGGTGGAGGGGGTAAAATTGCTTCCTTTGTAGATTTTTTTTGTATGTAGACAATAGACACTATTTCTTTATTTACATAATTTATAGAGAATAGTAATGCGTCAACAAATTCCAGATGGTTAACTTAAAACTATTTACAACATTGTAGGGTTAAGGGGAAGATCCACTGGTGGTGTTTTTTTCAGGAATTCGGCTTCTGTGTACAATGGTCTGTCCTGTAGTCATTATGTCAATTTGATCTTGAAGTGTGTAGTGGTAGTGTCTTGAGCTGCTCAGGTAGATGATTGTAATACAAAGCTCCTTTGTATGCTGGTTTCTTTTCAAAAAGGCTGAGATGGTGTGGTGGCAAGGCAAAGTTTGAGGCATGCCTTGTGTTGAATTGGTGTATGACCCCTGGTGTCTTGTTTGTTGTGAGCTTATTGCAAATAGGTTTGTTTCGCGTATGTAGAGTGATATTACAGTGAGGATTTTGAATTGTTTAAAGTGTTTTCGGAAGCTTTCCTGATATCGTAGGTCTGCCAGGCATCTGATCCCTCTTTTTTGTTGTTTGAGGACCCTTTATAGGTTTGTGTTGGCTATCCCTCCCTATGTAATTATGGCATGTCATTTATATGCATGTCTGGCATGTCATTTGTGTGAAGGAGAAATAATACCCTCCCTGTTTCAGCAAACCTAAGAACTCGTTAAACTAATCTATATATTTAATACGCGACATGAATCTTTGTGAACAATAAGGCTTTTTTGTTTTAAGATTTAACCCCACATATTATGTACCAAAATGTTCGTCTAGGTGTGTAGATGTGCAAACTGGCTTTAGATTTTTGAAATATATATTTTTAAGGGCGTGGGCTGCCCTCAAAGTTCCTTCCATAAGGATAACATTGTGATTGATTTGAATGTTATTATATTCTGAAACAGATGTCAATACATTAGTTTAAAAAAATTAAATCCCAGCTGTTTTGTTTGGTTTTGAAATGTAAATAGTTTGCATGTTTTTAAAAATAATTAGAAACCTGGCAAAGAAATGTTACCTATAAGACATGACGGGAGAAAAGTTTGACATATTATTTTTGTTTAAACATGCCAAAGGACCCGACGACAAAGAAATATTGCCGGTCGGACACGGTGAGTCAACATACTGCAAGCAATGCAAAACGTAAGGAGCCCAGACGAGGAGCTGGAACCGTGAGTGGCAACGTGTACTTACAAATTACCCTGACAAATACAGTACAAGAATTCAGCAGCATTCACTTGGTGAGATGGCATTGAAATGTCAGAAATGAGGTGCGCTACATTTTAAAGAAGAACAAATAGGACGAGGCGAAGGATTTTCATCCTGCTGCCATAAATGAAAAGTGAATCTACCACCATCCCGATAAATCTATTATATCCAGAGCCTACAGATCATTTGAGCAGAAACTACAAAGAGAACATTAGATCGTACAACTCAGCAATGGTCAGCAATCAAGCTAAAATTGAAGAACATAACGGTTGAAGCATTTCTGTATAAGAAGGTGCACGATACAATTTATCACTCAATTGGCACATTTCAACCGTCAGAAGGGGAGCATCCAACATATGCCCAAATTTATATATACGACGTCGAAACCGCTGTTCAAGAAAGAATGCAAAACAAAGCTAATGGCTCTTGCAGCACTGAACTCATGCACATTTTGACTCAACATTTGGTTGATATTAATCCATACGCGCAAGTTTTCAGCATGATGAGCTCCATCCTGCAAAATACTCCTACTGAACAGCAAAAAGAACTTAAAATGCATATAGCCAACGATTGAGCTCAAGACCAACGTCGATACAACGACGCAACTTCTACGACTTTGCTATAATATCCTAACTTATTATTCGTGCGAATTCGCACGGGTTCACCTAGTTCTATTTAAATGGGGAATAAATGTGATATTTTTAGGGAGACATTTTAGTGTAATTCCAATCAGGCAAATGGAAATTCGCTGAGTCTGCAGGATTGCTGCGGCAGGGGTATTTTTTATACTTTGGATATATTTTAGCTAGGCCTATCTTTAATTTTGTTGGGAAAACTCCCTGGTTTAGGGGCTTGTTGATTATGTATGTGAGCGGGCCGGTAAGTGCTTCTTTACATTGTTTTGTAATTTTTGCTGAGATTTCAACGATGCCTGTAGAAGTTTTTAATTTTAAGGAGTCTTACGCTTTCTATTCATCATTGCCTCCAGGATTTATAATTGACAATATAAATAGGCTAACATACCTTACGTCGTTAATCCTAAAATTAGTCTAGGGTGACTAGTTTCGAAACATCAGTGGTTTCACACCTGAACACCTGATCAACAAAAACCATAATGTTAATAGCTGCAATGATAGCCTAAATATTTTACACAAATGTACCAAATCCCCTCAATGAATGTTCCAGAAAGCTTAGAAATCTACAAAGCAACCAAGAAATATCCTCACGACATTTTAAATGAAAAACTAAATTTTGGCCGTAACATAATATTTGATAGGGTTCAGGACATTGATAACGAAAGCGCTCAAAATCAGCTGCTTCACCCCCTCCGAGGTCAATGTCAACAGACAGGAGTCGGTTAGTTGCATCGTGCCCGTCACCGCGGTACTTATGGCCGGCCGCGCACTTATTTTTGTAAATAGTTTGTGTCCGTGTTCGCTTTTATATATGTTAAATGTACTATTGTGTATTGACTACAACAAGATGTCCCAATATTTTTAAGAGGCAAGAGGATCGACAATGAAACCACTGATTTTTCGAAACTAGTCGCCATAGACTAGTTTTAGGATTGACGTCGTAAGGTATGTTAACCTATTTATATTGTCTATAGCTTTCATTACTTCTGCATGTGTTGTTGGGTGAAACTGCAGGTTGTGGTCTGTTATGGGTGGTATGACTTGGAGGATGCTGTTTGGGTTTCTGTTGTTAACTTGGGGTGTTCTTTCTGCTACTGTGGCAAAGAAAGTGTTGAAGTGGTTTGCTACTTCATGAGGGTCACTTATCTGTTCTCCATTTATCTGAAGCATTAGCTGGTTTTCTGTGCTTCTTGTTGCTTTTCTTTCATTGTTTATTACCTGCCACAGAGCTATTGATTTATTTTGTGCCTGGTTGATGTGTGCTGCAGTGTTTTCTTTCTTGAGGGTTTTCAGTCTTAGGTCATTTTTTTTTTTATTGGCTGCTGTGTCTGCTTTGTCTTCCGCTCGCCCTGCACGTTGTTCTTTTTCCAAGGCATTAATGTAGTTGTTTTTAAGCCTTGTGCATTCATTGTCCCAATACTGCCTTTTTTTGTGCTGCCGTCTTCTTACAGTTCTAAGGGGGCAGATGTCATTGAGAGCTGCTTGTATGGTGTTGTGGAAATTGTTGTAGGCTTGATTTACATTTTCTGTGAGCAGTTCGTCATTCCAATTCTGTGTTAGCAGGTTTTCTTTGAAAAGTGCAATCCCTCTTTTGGCGTATATTCTCTCTTTTTTCAAAAGTATGTATTTTGTTCATGCTGCATATATTATGTGAAAATAAACATAACATATATCATTACATTCATTCATTCAATATCTTACTAATATTATAAATGTGAAAGTTTGTGTGTTTGTTTGTTTGAAGTTAAATCACGCATTAACTACTGGACGGATTCGGTTGAAATTGGGCATGATGATAGCTCACATTCCCGATTAACATTATGTATATGTATATATTTTTATTTAAAAAAATCCTTTTGGGGCTCCGCCCCAGTGGCTCTGTAGTTCCCCATGTTAACCTTATGAGTATTCATATTTAAAGTGAACTAAAGAATGAAGTCAGCTGTTTCAACTAAAAAAGTTGGTTCTATGATATGCAAAAGTATTAAAAAGTTATACTATTTACCAACAGGGTGCA